GGAGGTGGTGCTAAAATCAAAAATAAAGTATTAATAGATAAATACTATAAGGTCAACAATGTTAAAAAGCAATCATGATCGGTCGTAAATTTGAAAATCACTATTTATAAACATGTGCAAGAGAAGAAACAATGTTGTCATTCTGGAATTTTGATTGTGAAACCATACAATTATATTACATTTCTTAAGCTAGATGAATATGTGATAGTAGTCTCCATTAACTGCAATCATTTTGAGACATGGTAGAAATGGAACTATCTATTATCAGCTCAAAAGCAAAATAACTAGGTTTTAAAAATCAAAGTCAGATAATATTATTCGATAACACTTGCCCTAATCTGTACTAGTCTAGAATAACTAAAATGCAGCTGAAATGAAGAAAACTAACTGGTTTAGACACCCTAAAAATACTTATAATTTAGCCTCTTCTGCGCAAAGAAGAAAAAAGAACAATCGATAATAGAAGAGCATTTCACTCGCGGGAATGTCGTAACGAATATGATAGTTATTTGTAACAGTTACTTAAGTGTCTAACACTGTTATTTTGCATTGGTTTGAATCTTTTCTGATTGTAATCATAGTAGTCTATCAAGTGAAATTATAATAAAAGCGCAAAAATAGCGATTTTAGAGACGATTATAGAAGCTATTCTTGTTTTAAAATATTATTTAGGAGAGTACAGTTTTCTAAAAATTTATAGACAGGATAGATACAGAGCAGGAATGACGCAACGCTGTGAGTGATCTATTGCAGATAGTGTTACACTGAGCTACATATATCAATCTTCTATTCAAGGTGGGCCAAAAGTCACGATACTGAAAGAAAATTGAATATTTTGACTATAACTCCGCAAAACAGGCTGATTCTTTTTGTTAGTGAAAAGAACTTTATTTAAGATTTGTTTTCATAGGAATAGTATACGCAAATACTTTTGCTAAATATTATTCTTAGTGTTATTAATGAAATTTGACCTTTTGGCAAGTAAGAAAAGTCCATGTAAAGCGTTCTTTAGATCATTTTGAGTTGTCATCTAAGAGAAGATCGAGAAGAAATCCAAACAAACTTTAGGAATGATAAAATATTGATGGAGATAGAACAAATTTCTAAGACTAAGCAGTTAAAAAGATCGGATTCGCGTTTAATGTTTGTAACGAACAACTAAAACTCTTTGAGTACTAAACCAGCAACTTTTACTAAAAAAATTGGTGTTGCATACTTGAAAGTCTGAAAAATTGTAACTGTTCAATTTCAAATTAGTATTCTAAAGGTTCCCTTGTAGAAGTACGCTGAAAAATAGAGAATGATCAGTAAATAAAAAGAGATAGACAGAAAGGTAGCTGCAGTTAAGATATAGTTGTCAAGAACAATTAAATCTAAGAGAAAAGTATGAAGGTCAATATAAAAAGTAGGATTGTATATAAGAAAGAACACAAATTAATATAGAACGCATAACGAGAATAAAAGATATGAAATGTATTCAATCGCATGTATAAAAGTCGTGCGTAAGATGGCTGTATTCTAGTCAGAAGCGTCAGTCTTGATAACTATGTCGTATTTATTTGTTCACTTGCAAAAGGATGTGTATACAGTTAGGTGAATCGTTATACTGGACCATCTTTATCATCCCACAATACCGTTTTCAGAATATTTGGAAGACCAGAGTTACAAGCGGAAAACACAATTCGTATATTATCTTTCTATTTGACTCTAGTTCTTCGTTACTATTCTCTCACAATGACTACGTAATATACATGAAGTTCTTAAAATATGCATATGTCACGTAGTTACTGTGATAGATAAAATTAGGCTAGATGATAGTTCCAGTACTGTGCTGGAATGTCCTCATCAAGTGACTCATAGATGCGGCTCTACACTGTTAGAGGTGGATCATTTGATTTAACGCTTAATATTAAATGTTAAGTGAAAACACTTAATTAAGTGAAATTAAGTTAAGTGACTCACCCTAGCCTACTTCGCATAAACGGTCCCTCGATGATGAATATCGGAATAGGAAGAATATAACACTAGCAATAGTTACAGATAAAGTATTGGGCTTAGAAAACTCTCCTCGGACGATATCCTATACTAAAAAGTAGCCGAAAAGCAGAGGTCTACTTCTTCTATATCCCATTGAGAAAACTCAAACTCGTGCTAGGCATTTTCTCTTAATGTGAAGTTGTATACTCGATCAGAGACATTTGACACTATCTAGATCGAAACTTATTTTCACCATATGAAAAGCTTTCTAGAGAACATTGTCTATTTTTAATGTACACCTGACTCGAAGTTTCGACTTTACAACGTTCATCATTGAGAAACACACATTCTGATAAAGCGACTCTCATCTATCATATCTTGTAATACAGTACACAAAACATCAACGTGTGGCACCCGATGCATATCAGTGTACATTTTTCTTAGTTCGAAATAAGGTCCTACTCAGAACCATGATTAGCGTTATAAATCGTTCACATGATACAGTACGATATATTGTAAATGGATTTAGGACAGCTCTACATTAGTACTAAACCTCTGAACAGTTTCAAGAGCTCCGTTTAAAATGCTCATCTGTCTAATAGTTCTTTCGCTCAACACATATCTGTCTGTCTGCCAGTTTCTTCTCGGAAGCAGAACACAAGGACTCTCCGCGTAAATAATTTTCTTAAGAAAAAACAGTTTTGTTCTATATTGTTTTCTCGCAAATCAGAGACGAAGTACATGCTGCTATTGAATATAGCACGGCATTCAGACACGTCAGTTAATATCAACGCGCCACCCTCACAGTTCATTACTGGACCTCATTTGAACGTTCAAAATATGAACCTTCTCATGTATAATTGTACTAACAATTTTACATTAATACAACTCTCACCAAAATATCAACTGTAGAGCGCGGTACTCTAAAAAAGCTTTTGCATGACAGCAGCTTTGACAAAAATCTCTACTCATAGTACATCTACGCAGTCTAGGTACCTATATATCTTATGTGAAAAGACTGCTTAGAACTCTCCACTCTTGCTATTAATGAGCACTCACAACCTAAAAATTTCACAAAAACGATTTCAATAAAATCGGATTATTTCTCTAAGAATCACAACTTCATCTAATCACATAGCACACGTGTCTCGACACCGATGAAATAAGAACAAACACGTTTCTTAAAAGTCGGATTCTTCACACTAACCTGTGCATGGCACACTATTGGTCGTTGCAGGAGCAACCGTACAACTTGCGCATGCGTAGTTGGCCGTTCCACCACCCGATGCCGTACAAGAACCACTACCGCCATTCAAGTTACACGAGTTCGGATTGCACGGTGACGCTGCAAACAATGAGAGAAAGATAATGCACGGTTCAAAATCCTTTCGTTCATATGCATGTACCTGGGCATGGTGTGCTGTCT